CCTGACAGCTGTCCTCGCTCACCGGCTGGGAAATCCTGTCACTGTGTTCACTACGCTTTCTCCAGGGTCCTCTCCAGCTTTCAAACACCAGGGTTAGGTCAGAAGTTCAGTAAAATGACAACAGAATGGCCCTTTGATGTTGTCATCTTATTTCTAAGCGTGTACAAAAATACACAGGCACCAAGATAGCCACTGTGCCCCCCTGGCCAGTCAGCTTCTCAGGCCACCCCTGAGGCCACAAGCACTTCAGCAGGAGCAGAGAGATGAGGACTGATTTCCCTTCCCTGGCGTCAGACCCTCCTTCTCCAAACTCCTCTTCCGGAACCCAAGAGCACCTTCAGTTAACAAGATTAGAAGCCTTGGCTACGGGCTAACAGTTACTCAGACACATCTTGTGTGTGGCTCTTTCTCTCTAAAATTCCACATCCAAGTAACTTGCGAGGTAATTTGGAACAAATAAGTGGTTTGGGGGGAGAGCGGCGTGTGCCAAATTTCCGCAGCAAATGCTTCCTGGCCAGTTTATAAACTTTCAGAAATGCTGCTGGCATGTGCAGTAGAAACACGATCCACCGCGCTCAACACTTCCCGAGTGAACTTTGGAATGTGAAATGTAAAATTTTCAAACTGTAAGGGGCTTTCAGCCTTCAACTTTTGTGGAGCTTCGGTAACAGATTTAGCACTTATTTATTTCTTTTTTTTCCTTTTTCTGAAGCCAGCTCAGAAAAAAAGCAGAATAAAATATGCGTCTCTAACACGACATGTTCCCTCATTTCTTCTTCCTTAACAGTTTGCTTTCTCTCGTGTTTTGAAAATTAGTCAAAAGAGATTCTATTTGGGGATCACAGAAATGGTGTTAGGGAAATAATCATTTCTCTTCAACTGCCATCAGCACCTGACCTATGTTATTAAGAGAAGTCATTTTCTAGAGGGTTCTGCATCTGAGGCAGCCCTCCCCAGGGTGAGATGAAGAGATTCAGGGGTCCCCAGACCCCCATCCTGTCGACCACCGTGAAGCTTGCGGCTGAAGCCGGGTC